TCTTACCCTTACAAATCCCCTTCTTTCTGTTTCTCTTATGTTTTCTTTTTCTTTTTTTTGTCATAGATCCACAATATTTTTGTAAAAAAGGATTTCATGGAACGTCAACGTCATTATTATTTCTTGGTTAGCAAGGATCACTGATAATCCCAATTATTTTCATCGTTTCGATTGAAGTTTTTGAAAAACTTCGTAAGTAACTTTTCGATTCTATGATACGAGTCTCAATGGCAGAATAAAAAATAGGATTAAACGATTCCAGTTGAATTTTGGAATTTGTATAAATATCTTCTCAAGATATTTTTTTATTTGATTAATCTCTGGTAATAATATGGTTACAATAATGGCAAACTTGATTGCAACGTAGTATCAATAAAACGTTGTTCGTGGAGTATCCTACAAGAAGCAATAAACGATCGTTAAAGTGTTAACGGATATTGTTCTATAATGAGAACCAAGTACTACCACCATTATAGTATAGGCACGTTCGTTCAACTATTATTATACCGACTTAATTAAGTTTCGCGAAATGAAATGGACTCGCGCGTACGTCTTAGTTTGCTCGCATATCAAAATTTTCCTGAGTAAAAACGATTGCAGGATATTGCAACTTTATAATATCGGGAGAGATTTGTTTTTTTTTAAAACATGAATATTATATTTATATGCGTATTAATTTATAAATTATAATACAATTATTATGCGTTACGAATTATTTTTATGTAGATAATCGAGACAAATATATTTTTTAATTCATTAAGAAAGAAAAAAAAGAAAATTGTCAAATTGTATTACATTTATATTTCATAATTTTTGTTAACGTTAAGGTATATTTCACTGACCTATCACAATATTGAAAGAGAAAACGAGCGTATTCAATCGAAATTATTTCGGTCGCGACGAGGAATCCTGTTCAGATATTTTTCGTGACGGAATCAGAGACAGATGATGAAAAATAACGCGAAGATATACTGAATCGGAATGTTTGTACCCGTGCTGTAGTGGAACTAGGAGGAAGGGAGACCCTGAAGTCAGTCTTTTGGGTAGAACGAAGCTGGTAAAGCGTGATGACATGCCTACTTACGGCACTCGACGGCGATGCTTTTACGCTTTTCGTGCGGCTACCATCGGTGGAGAATTTGATTAGGCCAATTATGCGCCAGCCGATCGAATCTCAACGTGAAATTAGATTAGCCACGTCGATTATTAAGTCACTATTGCCCTTTTTTTAGTCTCTTAATATAAATGCCGCTTGGTAGCATATTGATAGTTATCATTATTATTATTATTTTTTAATCCATCGTTTGGTAAATGATTACACTTTTAACAATATTTATATAACAATTTTCACGTAATAATATCAATTAATATTGTGTTTAATAATTATTATCAGACAAATCCAATGAGAAACATAAATGATCGATGTTTGATTTTATCAATTTTGATAAGTAATTAAGAAAAATATAAGTTAACTGTGAATATTAGAATGTTTCGTAGTTGTTTGGTAGCGTTGCCCTTTTAGAAAGGAGGATGAAACTTGGGAAGGTTGTTTACGGGGGAGCTGGTTAGGGGTAACCCCCAATGTGTATAGTATATGCGCGGATCGCTTTGCAAAAGATCGACAAACGCGGCGTGATGCGCGACCAATCAGCACAGTATAGCCAGCTGCCGTGCGGGCAAACCGAACCAACCAACCAACCCGACGTATACCTAAAACGCTAAAGCTTCGGTTCATTCATCAAGCTTCTGGTTACAGGGTGCAATCAATAGCTATCCCTCTTCCTTTATCTATCTTCTTCAAAGAATATCCATTGTTTCCTTCTCGTTCACGTAGTTTGATTTGAAAAAAGATCTACAAAAAATGAAAACGATAGATCTTTCACTGTTCATTGTAATAAATCGACAAAGATCACAGAGAAAGTTGATACGTTTGAATACCCAGAAATAGGTAAAATGATTTCTATTTCTGCGATATAATATATGTTTTCGTATATTTATTAGAATACTTTTCCATTCGAATTCGAATCCATCGTAAATTTTCGGAAAAACTAGGCATATATATATTTTTATTGTTTTTGTATAATACAATACATCGAACGTGTTAGGTATAGTTTAAGAAGAAATTAGAGGAGCAAGAAAGTAGATCGTGTAAGTTTATGTTAGTTCAAGGTACACTTCCTGTATACCTTGATAGCTTCATTTAAAATTAGTTTGATGGAAGCCCAAGTAAAGATTAGCCGATCATCTGAAGACCTCATGAGGGATAATCGTATCTCGTAGGAAGTTAGGTTTTCCTCGTCGTTGTTAAACATCGTTAAATTAGTAACACTAGGAAACGTCCATGGGACGTTATGATATTCCCATATCAGTCTAACCTACGTACCACGTTGAACCTATATACAACGGTACGAACAAACGAAGGTACCCTACGCCGCTCGATTTGCACGCTTTTCATTGGCTCGGTTAAGTTTGATTAATCTAATCGGTTGCACCATTGTTCGAAACGTACTGCGCCGTGTCCCATTGGCTGCCTGGCATAAGACCTTCTTATATATGTGTATACATGTACACTTATTACTGGGGGGTCCATGGTGTTTGCCATTAAGGCTGGGAGAAGACGTGCAAGCAGCCATTACTAGCCACGACCGAACTGGTTTTGTGTGTTTTTCGCTCTGCCCATTTCATTCCTTCTCCCTGTTTTGCACCCCTCTTCTTTTCCCCCCTTACGCCAGTTAAGTCGACGATGATTTGTGCCCCGTTTGCAAGGCGTCCCACGTCCTCTATAGGGAAAATGGCTGTTGATTTGAACCAAAAAAAAATATAAATTAACAAAAAAGAAACGAAAAAGGAAAGGTTCTCCTCTCGTTTTATTTTTATGTTCTTACCTTTACTTTTTTTTTTTTTTTATTTATTATTCTTCACATATTTTATCGTGAGACTCGATAAATTTACTAACTTGGTATACTTTCTTAACGCGTCGTAGTTTGTATCTTAAGTTTGACTACCAGCAGGATGCTGAATTCGTAATATATTCTCATGGATATTTGTAAGTACCTACTACTATACTCCCCTACCTATCCACGGGGTGCAAACTCTAAGTTTCGTAGGTCGTTACGCTCGTTAAGGTTTCTCGTAGACGATACATCTGTCGAAACAGTTAATGTTCTACAAATGTCTCTATGTATTTTCTTTAGAAATAAATGAATTTTTAATTAAAACATTTTCCATCAATTGGTACTGTTTTTCACACATTTTTCTCGATAACAACAACAAAATAGATAACTAAGATAGATAAATAAGAATTTTCTAATTAATTTTAAATAAAATTTGAAATTGTTTTTCGATACTTAGAGAAAAATGATCGAAGATTAAATTAATAAAAGTTGTATAAGTTTAACCAAAAAGGACTTAGATCGGATAAATGGAAAACAATCCGTACCAGGAATCTAGTAAAATGTCTACGATTCTCGGTATTGTGAATTTTTCGGACCGCACATATAGTTTCCAGCCAACTGAAGGATTCCCCGCCCATTTTCAAGCCCCTCGTAGCTTACAATTCTGGGTTGCCATTCGAAGCGGCTTCTTTGAGTTCAGTCCCTTTTCTTTCAGCCCCTATCACCAATCCTGACTACGTATTATCCTCCAATCTGTTGCTTTCACAATTTTCTTACCCTTATGTTATATGCGGTAGGTCAAGGGTCTCTTACGACGAAAAATTTTTTATACCTAATAAAAATTCATATAATATTCTCATTGAACAATATTTATTTTCTTTTTATTAAATTAATCTCGATTATAAGTTGTTAATCATATTTTTCATATACGTTATCATTTGTTATTTTATTTAATCGTATTGTTTCGAAATTGTTTATATGATTAAATCGAGAAAAGATTGGTAAAATGATGTGAACCGAAAAATGCAACCGTGTCTTTCCGTTTACGGGACGATATATTTATGTCATGATAGAGAAAAGCGAAGAAGGTCCGACCACCTACTTGGCGAACACAATGGGCCACAAATGCGTGGCGACAGGACTCGTAGATATACGGCAGGCTGATTGCTCGTTGTCACTGTACACTCGATTGTCGGCTCTCCTTCTGGCTTTTCACTTTTTGTATTTCTTTTTATTTTCCTGTCCGTACAATTTCAAGCACGGTAAACTCGATCATTAATATAATCAATATATATATATGTATATATATTTTTTTGTTTTATAATATTGTTAACTAGGCAAAATTTTAGTGAAGCATATACTTACCATATGTACAATATTTAAAACAATCATAATATAATGGTGAATTATAATTGTAAGATTAATTTCATTAGATTTTTGAATGCGGATTGTAAGCTTTGTTTATTTCATAACGTCGAATTAATACAGCATAGCTATATCTATCAATTGAAAATATTCTTATATGAATAATCCATAATATCTTCTTTATGTACAATAACTGTATGAGTGTATAATATATATATATATAAATTTACAATTAAATAAATCGTTTACAATAATCATCACGCAACTATAATAATAATAATAATAATAATAATAACAATTTCTTTAGTATCAAAGTTAAATATTTAAGCTTTATTTAAAATCCCGCTCATTATAAATAACACTTATTATTATTATTTGATTTGTCTTAAACGTTTTATAAACAAATTTTAAGTCAACATTAGTAAAAAAAAAAATTATTACTTACGATATTAATTTAAGGCAGAAAGTATACATTAACACTCTTGTTGGTCGTCACGATAAATAATTGTTCGAGCATTATTTTGTTCGTATATTACAATAAATTTGTCATAATAATTTAACACCGACAATATACGATTAACACCTATACGTATAATTACATATTATATTTACAATTATTTGAAATTTCTATTTTTCTTTTTTAAACTAACAAAGATCGTATTATTAAAAGCACAGTGGACACAACATTTTGGTTAAAAAAAAAAAAAAAAGAAGAAAAAAAAAAGAAAAGAAATAAAAACCTTATCGTTTTTCAACATTACTTCCAAGTCGGCTGAGAAAAGCAAGCTGACTTTGATCAAGTGATTCATTCGTGTAACCGTTTAGTGTACTTCGAGCCTGCGATACTGGAACATTGAAATCATTCGACCTTCCACTCGACAAGACGAAATCCGGGCCGTGTACTCTTCCGCAAACTTGTGAATCGATTCCACCCAAATATGGATAACCACTTTTAGCCTCGCCAGGACTGTGAGGTGCAACATGGTGATGAGCAACACCAGTGCTACCTGGTACTGTTGAACTCGCACTTTGTACCATACAAGCGCTCATGTTCGAAGCCGTTGGACTGACGCTGCCACCAAGGCTACTCAAATTCAAATTGCTGCTACCATAGTGGGAGGCGTTGAATATTCTGCAAACCAAAGCACGTCAACGATTTCTAAAAGAAAATCGAGAAGAATCGATTGCTCCTCCGTACGTATTTTTATTCAAATTAAATACGTTTCTTGAATATTAAGAACATTAAAAAAATGAATAACTAATATATTTTTTTCCTTAGTTACGCGTTACCGTACAAAAATTATTATTCTTTATTTCGTTAATTAATCGATTAAACATACATTTATTTATAACAAATTTCATTGAATTTTATGTTACTACGCTGATGCAATTTTTTTTTATTAAGAAACGATATTAACAAAAAAAATGTTGTATCATTCGTTATTCACGTTATTTATTGCAATATTTCATCAATCGAGTTTGTTTAAAAAAAAAAAAGAAAGACAAAATTGAGAAAAACGAATGGACGATTATAGATTAAACTAATCAGGAAAAATTATGTTGAAGTTCATCATAATCCTGGTATCTCGTTACCAAAGAGTCGTTCCCTTTTTCGGTGTTTACAAAAGTAATAAAAGATGCGCGTGGGCGTACGAGTTCTGTGTGTGTTTCCTACGGGGCGTGCCGAACGTTTTGACTCCCGCGCTTTTGAGCGCGGTACCTTTTGAACCGCGTTAAGGACTCTAAATCGTGCCGATGCACGACCCCTGCTTATTTTTCTCTTTTTATTCTTCTTATTTCATTCTTTCTCTCTCTATCTATCTTTTAAAACTCCATGGAGGGGAAAGCAGTTATGAAAAGAAACACGAAGAACGTAACGGAAGCCTCGGCCGATTTATCGAATTTGTGTTGCCCCAACCCTCCCCTTTTTCCTTGAAAATCCTTAGAGTCAATTGTAAGCTTATTCTTCTAAATATTATCGATAGTAGATTTCTAACGACCACAAATCATCCCTTTCTCTATGCCGCGTTAATGACTTAGCAATAAAACTAACAAGAAAAAAAAAACAGTCTTGAGGAAAGGTCGATCCTTGAAATGAGTCGAATCATAATTATATTCTTATTTGGGACACACGTTGAGTTATTAATGACGGTGATGTATGCACGTGGGTGAATTCGAGAAGGAGAAAATAAAATAAAAAGAGAAAGATAGACAAAGAGAAAGAGAGAGAAAGAATGTGAAACGTGACAGATCCATTCGTAGGGGGCACACGGTTAGAGTGAGATCGATCGCGAAAGAGTATGCGTCCCGCGTAGAGGGGTCCTTGGATCGGCCCGGAGGATTATTAGCCGGTAGCGTTTCATTACGGAGGCCGAAGGAACATAATTGAGGACCACACAGAAAACGGTGTCGGTAGACGTCGGGGAGAGGGAATGAAAAGGTAAAGAAGAGGGAAGAAGTGGAGTAAGGAACATGAACGAGTAGAAAAGAAGACCAGTCGACGAGGATGATGTTGGGTTGTTCGAACGTGTGCGAGGACAACACAAGGTTACATGGCACACTGTAACAACGCGATCACCCCGGCAACCTGTTATTACGGCACAATGGCTGAATTAATTGTTGAAGAGTGCGCGCACAGCTCGAGAACCTTTGCTCGGCTTTCTCTGCTCACCTGGTTCAAACCGTTTTAAACGTTAGCGGTGTGTTCGGATATTACACGGGGAAACTCTCTTTTTCTATCTCACACGAAGTCTCGTGGGAGGTCTACTCCTCTTCTTTTTCTTTTTCTTATCCATAGGACCCCCAACATGGAATTTTACTTTCTCTTACTTTTAACGTAAATAAACGTAGACCGAGGAAAAGATTTCTTGCTTTTGTATTTCTCTTTTCTTTTATTTTTTTATTTCTAATTCGACTCACCCGTAGTTCTCGGCCGTCGCTCTGGTCCATTGCTGTTGTGCAGCGTAATAGTTATCCCCGTAGTTGTAATGCTGTGGATAACCAGCCGTTGTCGCTGCTGCCGCTGCTACGCTGACTTGCCCATAACTTTGATAACTCTCAGCCGCGCTACCGTAATGTTGACTCTGAAACGATTGTAAACTCATCGGGTTGAACGCGTTCGTTTGTTGACTGTTCATTTGTTTCCGTAGTCTCGCTCGTCTGTTACTGAACCATACTTGAACTCGTGCTTCTGTCAACTTAGTTCTAAAAACAATGACGCAAATTTTTAATTAGTAGTATCTTTTTTTACTTATTGGTATAATACTAATTTTGATTAATATTTTACTTTTGTGCCAATTCCTCTCTTGTATATACGTCCGGATATTGAGTACGAACGAACACCGCTTCCAATTGTTCCAATTGTTCACCCGTAAAGGTAGTCCTACTGCGACGTTGTTTTCTCTTAAGAGTTATGCCAGGTTCACTTTCCGTCTCGGAATCGTCCCCGCCGTCGCTTCCACCTGAAGTAACGTCAAGAATTGTGCCATCCGTGTTGATTAAAATCCCTTATACATATATTTTAAACTTGGGGTTTTGGCTCGATCGTGTGTCTAACTTGCCGAGTATCGAAGGTACGTGTCATGAACTGTATAACAGTGAAAGGGATTGAAAGATACAAAGAAAGAGAAAGAAAGAGAAAGAAAGAGAGAGAAAGAGAGAGAGAGAAAAAGAAATCTTTCAGTCCAGCACGTGCTGCACGTCAGATACCGAAGATAGGAAGCGAGTCGTACCCGCCCACAGTTCACACGCCGGACTGAGCAACCCGCTATTAAGACCCGCCTGATTACAGCCGTGGCAGCCAAACCTATACTAAACTAAAACACCGGAGAAATTAGGGTCCGCCGCGAGAAGAAATTAAGTTCTTTGACATGTCCCGTCCCATCTGAGCTAAATGAAGGAGATTCGTCGAACGTTTCGATTTTATTTAACCGATCAATAAAAATATTCAATCTTTATTTTTCTAATCTTTTTTTTTTTTTACCAAATAAAAGAAAATAAATATCTATACTTAATAGTCATTGTCGGTGAAAAAAAAATTGTTCAAATATATCAACGAAATTCTATCGAAATTCTAGCAGAAGCTCAAAGGTGCGGTACCATCGACAAAATTAAAGACCACGAAACTGAAACTTTGCCATAAATCTTATAGCCGGGCTAACGATTTTGTAAGATCTATTAACGCGTATAGTAGCGACGAAGATTTCTTTTTCTTTTTCTTTTCTTTTTCAAATTACCTATAAAATTGTAACGTTGGTATTTAATAGAAAAAAAAAAACAAAAAAAGAAAAAACAATTTATTTCTAATTAATTCATATTTGCGTTCGGAAGCGTAATAATCCGCGTGAATCACGTGACCGCATTATTGCATCACTGACAAACCTAACCTCTTCGAATAATTGTTCCAAACGTTTCTCATAGTAAATAATATTTAACTAATATTCCCAATCGAAGTTAATACATACAACAAAATTGTATTAAATAACTTAAAATCAAAATGCAAGATACAAGAAGGGGGAAATGTGTAATTGTCGCGTTTGTGAGGTTATTCATTTTTAAAGATGGCCGCGTATTTGGAACTTGGGATGTAGGAAAAGGTTTACGCGTGTAATGAGTGAATGAAAACAAGGATAGATGGATAGAAATAGAGATAACGTAAAGATATATAGAGAACAGAAAATTTAAACGGACGGCATCAACGGTTAAAGCCGCAAGAGAGAAAAGAGTAGTAGTAGTAGTAGTACGTCTCAATCATGGGAAGACCGCAAGTTTGCCCCGCAGTAAGAACATCTAAATCAATAGAGGGCGCTGCTATTCCTCGAACAAACTGGCAGACCGAGCTGTTGTTGGCGGTTTGTAAGATTAGAGGCAGGCTACGAGCCGAAGACCACACGCCGTGTGCCGCGAGAATATACTCCAAGTTTCTTCCCTTCCTCGCCACCCCCCCCCAACCTTTTCTCTCTCCCTGCCACCCCTTTTTCTCTTTTCTTCCTCTTATTTCGCGCGAGGAGGAAGAGAACACCACCAGTCAGTCCTCCAATCTTCTTTTATCATCCTCGTTCCCCCCCCCCCAGCCCCTCTCTTTCTCTTTCGTCCGATCTCTTTTATCGTTCTCTTCCCATCCCTTCTACGATTCGTAATTGAACGCGACTCTACAAACTTATTTACTAAATTTCCTCTTTCTCTTAATTTTTTTCTTTTCCCGTATCACCGGATGGGAAAAATACCGCAAAACATTTTCTTTCTTTATCTTTTGTTACTTTTTCTTACGAATTTGACACGAGATATTAATTCGAAGAGGTATTTAAAAAAATATATATATGTATATTCTTTTCTTCTTTCATCGGGGTCCAGGGACGACTTTTCGTTCGTTCGTTCGTTAGTTAGGACGAATAATCATCACGTCTTTAAACCATCTCTCGTTGTTAACAAATAAAGGACTCCCCCCCTTTTGGAGAAGCTTCGGAATAAGTGTGAAAAAAATCCAAAAAAACAAAAACAACAAAAAAATCAAAAGAAGGTAAAAGAGAAAGAAGATGGTTCTTATTGTTCCTTTTCGGATAGGGTTGGACTCCTCGTGCTTTGCCATTATTCGTTTTAACTCTTCTCTTTCTTAGCTTCGAAGACGTTCCTCTTCTTCTTCTTCTTATTCCTTGACTTGACTTCAAATTTAAAGAAGTATATACATTGGTACATAAACGTGCTTGACTTCGTCATCGTCTACAGGACGTGTCAACATGCATATGAACGAATTTTGAAGGAGAGAACAACGAACGAACGAACGAACCGAGACGTGAGCCCGTAAAAATGATAAAACGGATCTTTACCAAGATGGTGGTGTTAATCGAACCTGAAAATTAAGAGTCCTGGAGTGCTTCTTTCTTTTTTTTTCTTTCTTTATCTCTTTATCTCTCTCTCTCTTTCTTTCTCTCTCTGTTGTAATTTTATAGTATACGTCTAATCAAAACTAAATCTCTCCGACAAGGTAATAAACTCGACACATCTACGCGCCACGGGACGCCTAATATTTCTTCGCGAGCGATCTACCGTCGGTGATAAAATATAAAGAAACGAAAGAAACCAATGAATCCTCTCCTTCTTTTTCTTTTTTTCTTTTTTCTTGTTGTTTTCTTTTTTTTTTTTATTCCCTACCAACCAAACCTATATTTCTGCTATTCCTATATATCTTCTTGCATTCTTTGAGAATCTTTTTTAAAGAATCGCAATAATAATATTTTTTTGTTTGTGTGCGTTCTTTGCTATTTCCGATCTTGTCAAAAAAAAAAAAAAATAAAGACAATACTATAATAAATCTGAAATTGATTTGCATTGATGAACTATTTCATTAATGAATCATTTGAATCGTATTATTTGTAGATACACCGTCAATCATTTTTACGCGAATTATTTTTATAGAGAATAATATTTAATTTCGTTTATATAGAGCTTTTTTTTTTTGACTTAATACTATGAATTATTCATTGTAAAATATCATTGAAAATGTTCATTTATTCTTTCAACGTATAATTATATATAACTAATTAAATTCAATCGAATAATTAGGGTTTACTCTGAGTAAACATTATTTCGTTAATTGAATAAAATATTGCTTAATGTAGCATTAAAAACACAGCGAACGGATTTCGCGGAATTCATAAACGACAGGAATACGAACGTCTGTTTTTCTCTCCACGGAAGAGAATGTTACTCGGGCGTAGGATTTTACGACGTCGTACGATATGTTTCGAAAGGCTACAGGTAAAATATGTAAGTATACGTACATACAACTCGTTGAATAATTCTGACAATGAGATGAATGCATCATCGGTTCTATTGCGTCCCATCGAAATGATTTGCGTTATACCTAAATACGTACTCGATGTAACAGTTACACGGATAATTAACTGGACGTTTCAACGAGTTTTACTAATTGCCGTTAATAAATGTTCACATTTATTAATAATAATCCGTTAATACGCATACACATTCGTATGTTTTTTCTTATATATACAATATTATAAAATTATTTATCTATATTGTATTTTAATAATATATTTCTTTAGTTTCCAATTACAATTGTGACGATTAATATTTAGTATAGAAGAAATATTATTATATAATATATTATATGTGTATTTATTATAAGTCAGGATTACATTTCAGTTCATGTCAGATAACTAAAGTCAAGAAACGTGGGCACGGTTAATAAATGGGTGGTGATCCTCGTTTGTAAAAATAAAAAATCTTATGTTATTGACTACAAAGAGGCGTTAAAAGTAAGCGACCTTTTTAATAGTATTCGATAAGTATGTGAGAAGGTGCTCATGTGTCGAGAAATGATTCGTAAATTGTATATTAAAAATTTCAAATAAAATGTATTAATATCTTACCAAGAATTCCATTGATAGAATGATTAGTACCAAGATCATCAACACGACGAATTTTATTTGGTGAACCACGAAGGAGCCTTGAGATGCTAGAAACCGATGGTGCTGATGCCTTGTCGCAAACGCCATCCTGCTGGCAGAACCACGTTGGACTAGTTAATATATTATAGTTGATAATAATTAATAATATCATATATATATAAAAAAAAAAGATTAATATTTATGAATTATATAAATGAATGGACAAATGTCAACGGACCTTTATCAATCTTTCCTTGATTTCCCAACTGAGAATAGCAGGATTTTGTCTTTTAATATCTTCAATCCTGCTCTCAACTTCCGGTGTTGCAACTCTTGGTTTGCTTCCACCAATGACACCTGGCCTAATCGATCCAGTCTCTTGATACCGATTAAGAATTTTCGACACACAACCATGAGATACTCTTAATTGTCTTGATATAACACAAGGTTTCACACCTGACGCAGCCAACTCGACGATTCTTAATCTTATGTGATTTGGTAGTGGACGGCCATTTATAAAGACACCACCTAACTGATTAACACGACCTTGTCCTGAAACGTCACATACAAAAGATTTTTACTTAATATATATTATAATTTTGTTCTATTTGTGATTTATATATTCTATACGTATTTAGATAAATAAATACGATATTATATAATAAATATAAAATTAAATATTATCTAATTGTTATCAAATTTTTAACAATTTGTACTATAAATCGTATAAGATATTATTTTAATATCAATAATCATGTTGTAGATGAGTAGTATAAATAAACTAGAGAGTTTGTTTGTTAAATAATTCGCGAGATAGTTGTGTGTAGTAAGTAAAAAAAAAGAATGAATAATATAGAAATTTCATGAGTAAGGTAGAAACGAAATTGTAATTCTCGAAAAGATAGAGACGAGGGCGTGTACGAATTGCAAGAAAACAACGAAACTCGCTTTACTGGAGGATGTACAAAGAGAAACGGGATAAAAAAAAACAGAAAGAAATAAAGAAAAAGGTGATGGACCTGCATCCTGCATAAGACTCGTCGTTTGGAAGAACTCAGTGACACGCAAGGTGCCGCTCAAACGTTCCTAATTACCGGTAATTAGGGTCCCTCTTAATTAACTTAATTATAATCACGAAGTCAAACAAACCGCGTGTTACGCGCGTCTTCTGCGGCATCCTAGCAAAGAAACGAATGAGATGCGCGAGTTCTTCGTGTCAAGTCAAGTCAAGTCAAGTCAAGTCGAGTTGAGTTAAGTTGAGTTGAGTTGAGTTGAGTTAAGAAGAAAGAAAGAAAGAGAAAGTCTCGAAGCATGGGGACCCGAAAGACCATAGCGTTAAAAGAACAAGCTCGCGTGCCTTTTGCGAAACGGGTTCAAGATGAGGAAGGCGTTTGCTAAGGTTTTGTATAATACTAAACGCTCCTTACGGCATTCTATCTTATGGTTTTGCTCGAAGCAGTAAAACTCATGGAGTTGGGACTGCAACTGCGTCCATATTCGCGCGTGTTAATATCAAAAAATAAATAGTAGGATGAGGATGTACAAGGAATGAGAAAGGGAACACGAAAAAAAGGTACCCAAAATGAGAAGTAAATAGATATACTTCTGTCCAACCTCTTCCTCCCACCTTTTCCTAGTTCCTGTTTACAATAACTAAAAACAACACTAACTTGGAGATGGGAAGACTCGATATTAATCATATTATTCCCCATACGAAAATATTATAATATAATATAATATAATATTAATAAAAAACGATTTATACTGTTATTTCATTAATCCTATAGATTCGTTTAATCGGATTCCAGGAGAAATTTAGAGATGGCGATCGTCGGGCCCCACTAATTATCACGAGGACGGGGATTCAAAAAGGAGATCCCATCCATCCTCCCCCACCAAAAAAGACAGACAGAAAGGGAGAAAAAGTGAGAGGGCAACGCGTAGTCCCGTTTCGTCGTTCATCGAACGCTTCGAGATTTACATCCTTCACCCTACTCCTCTCTCTCTCTTTCTCTCTCTTTCTTTCTTTCTCTTTCTCTCTCTGAACAGGCAAAGCCAGGTCTCTGCAAGCCTCTCCGGTCTCACTTTGTCTCTTTCTTTCTTACGTTTGGGATCCTAAGGACACACATCCGTGAGGGAGCCAGGCCAAGTCAGGCCAGGCCAGGCCCCGTACGGTCCCGGCGTGTGTGTGACGTCAGTCGGGCCGCGGGGCCCGACGGGATTACAGGCGAGATCAAAAGACGCCGACCGCCACCGCCACCGCCGCCAATGACGAGGACTTGCCTTTGAATACGCGCCCTACACACTCCGCGAATTACGGAATAGAAGAAGGTGTACACCATTGCTTTTATTTCTTTTTTTTTCTTCTTCTTCTTCTTCTTATTTACTTTTTTTTCCCTTTTTTCCTTTTTTCTTTCTTCTTTCATTTTCTTTGATTTATTTCTCTAGGTTTTGTGTCGTGTGCATATAAGTATGCATATAAGTATGGAATTGTTTTTTTTTTTCTATTATTTTAACGTTAGAAAATAAATTTACGTATACCTATTATTAAGTATCTGAGTTGAATATAATAATTGATTACTTTAAATTATTAAAGAATATATTTTTATTTATTTAAATTACGTCATTTTATTTCATTTTTTCATTTTATTAATGAGTGTGTGTTTATTTCTGATTTAATTTGTTTTTTTTTTTTGGATTAGAAGTAATTGATTTATGCATCAACGTTGAGTAATATTTAATTTGATTAAATTTGAGACACTATTTGATTTTATTTAGAATATGTTATTGTGTTATATATTTGATTAATTTGTTCAATGTTGTAAAATGGATGTTAGATTTTATGTATTTATATTGCTTTATTATCACATATATTTTATGTTTTATTGAAATATTAAATCAATAGTTGTTGATGATCAATTGACTTACTATTCAATGAAATAGTTTATTAATGGTTTATGGTATATATACAAATTCAATGATCTACTCTGTCTAAAGCGTAATTCATCAATGATTCACGGTGTGTCTATGAATAAAATTATTCAATGATCAATGATGTTACTATAAATAAAATGATACGATAATTCAACAATATACCAGTTCAAATTGATGAAAAATACTTTGTAGATATATATCAGAAATCATTGAATTTATTCTATTAATATACACAATTCATCGATACATTTTTTTCTCAGACATTAGAAATTTGACGAATATTTAAATTATCAACAAATTGTTCCATAAAATCATTTCCATCACATTTATCATAATGATTTATTTTGAATTGCTAATAATACAAAAAAACCAACATCGATACATAGAATCAAACGTTAATTTGCATGACGATGAAAGTTTGATGTATTAATAATTAATCCAATTTATTAATTTTACGATTAACATTACCGTACACGAATAAATGAATAATTAATAATTAAATTTAAATAATAGTCATTAACTTACTTATTACAAGTTAACATACGTCAAATAAATACAAAATTACGAACGATATTAATTCATTATTACGTAACTTCTTCGATCATAACTTATAACCCGACACCTCATACTAATCTCAAAAATATTTATAGTAAATCAATGAAATGTAGCAAAAGATACAAATAATTAGGAAAATCAAAAGGAAACGATATATTTTCGAACGACATCGAAGAAAATGTTTGTCTTTTGGAATTTTATAGGAGTTGGGGATTAGGTGGCGGGCATGGGGTTGAGTTGGGTTGTGTTGGGGGTTTGGAGGAAAGAGAAAAAAGATTAACGAAAAATCCGAGAAAAATTATAAAAAGAAGTAGTAGAAGAATAAGAAGAAGAAGAAGAAGAAGAAGACCACCCTGCAAGCGTGGAGCGAAATGATGAAACGACGAGGAGATAATTTAACGCATGAATTATTGATAAGCGGCAATTGATTGTGAGCGATCCACGCTAATAACCATGATCGGTGGCAGCGATGTGACGCGATAGAAAGAGAGAGAGAAAGAGAAAGAAAAAAAAAAAGAGAGGTGATCGAACCGATTTGAATACGTTCGATGTATCGCTCGTCATTAAACTTTCCTTCGAGGCCCCCCATTTCACCCTCTTTCTCTCTATTTAACACTCTTCCTTTTTCTCCAAAGTATTTCAAAAATTGTATCAAAGAATAACACCATCACCATCATCACCAGGTGATCCGGTTAGATCTTACTATCTTAATCTATCGTAGATCTGCATCGATTAAATGAACTGTCACAAAATCACGAAAAGGATTCCTCTGCTGTGAGAAGACAATTTGTTCAGCTTTCACATAGAAGTTATATTATATTGGTTAGGTTTATAAGAGAAAGTTTTTCCATGGTAAGATCATTATTTGGATTCAGATTCGTTATTTATATATATATGTATATTTTATAACAGATTTATACAATATATATATAATATAATGTAAAATACTTTAGTTTTGAAATAATAATAATATAATAATAAATTAGATTTATAAATAAATGTATGATAAATTTAAAATTGTTTTAAGATAATAATTGTAATTCTTGAT